GATCGCAGCCACCCCCAGAGATGGTGAGGTCTAATCTGAATTTTCGTGGTGCCTCACTCCGCTGGACCCACCAGCAGCCCTCGACAGTGGCGACAGTTTCACAGATCGCAGCCCCCCAGCCCCCAGTGATGGCGAGGTCGAATCTGAATCCCCGTGGTGCCTCACTCCGCTGGACCCACCAGCAGCCCTCGAACGTGGCGACAGTTTCACAGATCGCAGCCACCCCAGAGATGGCGAGGTCTAATCTGAATCCCCGTGGTGCCTCACTCCGCTGGACCCACCAGCAGCCCTCGACAGTGGCGACAGTTTCACAGATCGCAGCCCCCACAAATGGCGAGGTCTAATCTGAATCCCCGTGGTGCCTCGCTCCGCTGGACCCACCAGCAGCCCTCGAAAGTGGCGACAGTTTCACAGATCGCAGCCCCCCCAGGGATGGCGAGGTCTAATCTGGGTCTGAGTATGACCCCACTCCGCTGGGCCCCCCAGCAGCCTTCGAAAGTGGCGACAGTTTCGCAGATCGCAGCCCCGCACAGGGATGACCATACAGGAGGCAAGCTGACACGCGGCGACGAGCAAGGTGCGATGCAGGGGGGAAGAGGAACGGAGGAACGAGGCGGGAAGGATAAGAAGAAGGAGGAGACGCGACCGCACTGCTCTATTCAAAACGAGAACCCAACGCAGGAGGGTTGGAACGTATGAATAATAATTACCCTGCGACGTACCCAACCCACGTGCATCAAGTGGCAAGAGGAGTAGGCCAACATTAGCAGGCGCAACGATACTGTAGGCGATGTGAATTGCTGTGCAAACTACATGGGATGCGCACGCATTGCACGGCTCACAGGACGATGATCGAACGAACGATGATTAAAGCCCCCAGGCTCGCGTATGACGTCACTCCGCTGGGCCACCCAGCAGCCCTCGAAAGTGGTGGCAGTTTCGCAGATCGCAGCCCCCCCCCAAAGATGGCGAGGTCTAATCTGAATCCGAATCTGTCCCCACTCCGCTGGGCCCTCCAGCAGCCCTCGAAAGTGGCGACAGTTTCGCAGATCGCAGCCCTTCGGGGATGGCGAAGTCGAGCCTGAGTCTGCGTAGGACCCACTCCGCTGGCCCCCCAGCAGCCATCGAACGTGGCGACGGTTTCGCAAATCGCAGTCCCCCAGGAACGGCGAGGTCGAATCTGAGTACCCCACTCCGCTGCCCCCCCCCAGCAGCCTTCGAAACTGGCGACAATTTCACAAATCGCAGCCCCCCCCCCCCCAGCGATGGCGAGGTCTAATCTGAGTCCCCGTGGGGGCTCACTCCGCTGGTCACCCCAGCAGCCCTCGGAAGTGGCGACAATTTCGCAGATCGCAGCCCCCCAGAGATGGCGAGGTCTAATCTGAGTCCCCGTGGGGCCTCACTCCGCTGGGCCCCCCAGCAGCCCTCGAAAGTGGCGACGGTTTCACATCACAGATCGCAGCCCCCCAGGGATGGCGAGATCTAATATGAGTCCCTGTGGTGCCTCACTCCGCTGGGCCCCCCAGCAGCCCTCGAAAGTGGCGACAGTTTCACAGATCGCAGCCCCCCCAGGGATGGCGAGGTCTAATCGGAGTCCCCGTCCCCGTGGTGCCTCACTCCGCTGGACCCACCAGCAGTCCTCGAAAGTGGCGACAGTTTCACAGATCGGAGCCCCCAGAGATGGCGAGGTCTAATCTGAATCCCCGTGGTGCCTCACTCCGCTGGACCCACCAGCAGCCCTCGAAAGTGGCGACAGTTTCACAGATCGGAGCCCCCAGAGATGGCGAGGTCTAATCTGAATCCCCGTGGTGCCTCACCCCGCTGGACCCACCAGCAGCCCTCGAACGTGGCGACAGTTTCACAGATCGCAGCCCCCAGGGATGGCGAGGTATCATTTGAATCCCCGTGGTGCCTCACTCCGCTGGACCCACCAGCAGCCCTCGAAAGTGGCGACAGTTTCACAGATCGCAGCCCCCCAGCCCCCAGGGGTGGCGAGGTCTAATCTGAGTCCGCGTGGTGCCTCACTCCGCTGGACCCACCAGCAGCCCTCGAAAGTGGCGACAGTTTCACAGATCGCAGCCACCCCAGAGATGGCGAGGTCTAATCTGAGTCCGCGTGGTGCCTCACTCCGCTGGACCCACCAGCAGCCCTCGAAAGTGACGACAGTTTCACATATCGCAGCCCCCACAAATGGCGAGGTCTAATCTGAATCCCCGTGGTGCCTCGCTCCGCTGGACCCACCAGCAGCCCTCGAAAGTGGCGACAGTTTCACAGATCGCAGCCCCCCCAGGGATGGCGAGGTCTAATCTGGGTCTGAGTATGACCCCACTCCGCTGGGCCCCCCAGCAGCCCTCGAAAGTGGCGACAGTTTCGCAGATCGCAGCCCCGCACAGGGATGACCAGGCAGGAGGCAAGCTGACACGCGGCGACGAGCAAGGTGAGAAGCAGGGGGGAAGAGGAAAGGAGGAACGAGGCGGGAAGGAGGAGGAGAAGGAGGAGACGCGACCGCACTGCTCTATTCAAAACGAGAACCCAACGCAGGAGGGTTGGGAATAATAATTTGGGAACTACGAATAATAATACTACGCACGCTAAGATTCAACATGAGAAGAAGAAGAACAATAAGAATACGAAGAAGAGGAACAAGAGGAGGAGGAGGGGGAGGAGGAGGAGGAGGAGGAGGAGGAGGAGGAGGAGGAGGAAGAGGAGGAGGAGGGGGGTGTCTGGCAGTCCTCGAGGAGAGCGACCTCGCCCCGACCGAGCTGAGGGCGGTCAACCTGGGTGGGGCGCTCCGGGAGGGAGCAGGGTGAAGTCGGGCATGCCCCCTTCCAGGAGGAATATTCAGTAGTGCATCAATAGTTTGGGGAGGATGTTTCTCATATTTTTGATTTTGTTGGAGCACTTCTTTCGTATGTATCATTTTTCGTCCAAGATTCGCCTGTAGGGGGACATGCCGGGCCTGAGAGTAGGGAGGCGACTACAGAACCGATTGAGCCTAACTCTGTAGTCGATCCCCTTCTCCAAGGGAGGGGCCTCGATGTCGAGGGTCGCACGAGTTGGCACCTCTTCCTGGGGCGGAAGGCGGCGGAAGGCGCGGGCCCGCTGGCGGAAGCCTGGAGAACCTCCTCCTCCTCCTCCTCCTCCTCCTCCTCCTCCTCCTCCTCCTCCTCCTCCTCCTCCCCTCCCTCCTCCTCCTCCTCCTCCTCCTCCTCCTCCTCCTCCTCCTCCTCCTCCTCCAGATGTGCCCTTTTTTGGGGGTCCACGGTTCCTGGACCCCGCAAGGCTCGAAGCAGAAGAACGCCGTGTGCATAAACTTTTGGCGCTCCGCGCGGATATCTTGGATCCGTGCTGGGCCCCCCCCTGGCGGCGCTTCCAGCGCCGCCCCTCGGGCGCTCCGCGCGCCAGGGAGGGGGTGTCCAGCGCAGATCCAAAGAAATCCGCGCGGAGCGCCAACAGTTTATGCTTATGGCGTTTAATATTTTTCTTCTTCTTCTTCTTCTCAAGGTGGCGTCGACGTGCTGGTGGGCAAGACGGAGGGCGGCAAGCTCTTCTGCGTTGGCAACCTGTGCCCCCACCTCGGCACTCCGATGAGCGAGGGCGCCGACGTCATCGGCGACACGATCGTCTGCCCGCTGCACGGCTCCTCGTGGAAGGTCGGCGACGGTGAGCTGATCGACTGGTGCCCGAGCCCGCCCATCATCGGCCCCCTCACCGGCCTGGTGATCGAGAAGAAGAAGCTGGCTATCTTCGAGGCGCGCTCCGGCTTCTTCGGCGGCGACATCGAGGTGCAGGTGGACACCAACGCGAAGAAGGCGTACGAGGCAGACTATTGGAAGGGTATCCTGGACGCGCAGGGCAAGAACGACGGCACCTACTACTGAGCGGATGGAGCGCCCTGTTGCGAGCCCGAGGCGCCTGGGCGTGTCTCCCATACCCGCGGTTTTTTAAACGCCAGGTCTCCCCTCTCAAATCCCGTCTCTCCCCTCTCCCTCCCTTCCCCTCTCCCCCTCCTCCCCCCCTCCCCTCTCGCCCCCTCCGCCCCCCCTCTCCCCCCCCTCCTCTCTCCCCCTCCCCCCCCCCCAGTCCCACTCCTTCCCTTTCCCTCCCCTCCCCTTTCCCCGTGTCTCCCTCCCCCTCCCTCCCCTCGCGCTGCACCTCCTGGGAGGGGTCGAACTCGTCGTCAGTCCTGGCATCTCGTCGCCGTCGCTCCATCCCAGCGATGTGCCCGGGCTGTGGACAAGAGGCCCTCGAGAGGCTCCCGGGAGGCCTCTGGGAGGCCTCCGGTAGGCTCCTCGGAGGTTGCTCGGGGGCCTCGCGCTGGCGGCTTCTTCGGGGCCTCTTGCGCGCTTCTTGGTGGCCTGCTGGCGGCCCCGGGGGGGGCGGGGCATCCTCGAGTGAAGGAGCTCGACACATCCACGGGGCTCGGTGGCCATCTTCGGGCAATAGGAACTCGCACTCGCCACGTCGAATTGGTGCAGGGCGCTTTTACCCACTAGATTGTCCTTGCACGGTCCTGGGTAGTCCAACGCAGTCCTATGTGCGTTCGATCTGCTTAGTAAGTGCACGCGCGTATTCCTCTGTAGCCATATGTATTCTTGTGTGTTCCGATCTATTTCCATGGGCTCCTATGTATTCCAACACATTCATATCTATTCCTATGTGCTCCAATGAACCGATTCTCTTGTGCACTTAATGTGTTCTCAAGGACATCAACTGGGGTTCACTGAATCCACGGTTGTGCACTGAGCATCCCCATGGTTAGTTCGATGGTTCCCTGGAGATGGAGTATATCGGTTGCTATCATGTCCCATGGCTTCCGCTCGCTTCAGACCGCCTCCGATCGCTAACTCGTAAAAAAGCATCGCGCAGTATACTCATACTGGTGGTTCTATGGGTATGTACACGGTTACTTGGCCATTCATCTTATCGCCCCTCATCCTATCGTACCGCCTCCAGGGGGTTACAAGGATTCTGGGGAGTCCAGGAAGTCTACCGGGTACAATGTGTGTCCAAGGATTATTTGGGCTCAGGGAATCCAGGGAACTCAGGGAGTCCAGACCAGACGGCCAGGAGGTTTAGAGGAAGTCCAGGGGGTCTGGGGAGTAGGAGGGGGGGAGGGCACGGAGCTTCGGAGGTCCAGAGAGGGGGGCCTGCGAGTCCGTGGCAGGGCGTCTAGGGAATCCAGGGAGCCAGCGAGTCCAACGAGTCTAGAGAGCCATGGAGTCTAGGGAGTGCCTGATTTCCTAGGGGGTCTAGGGAGTCCAGCGGGTCCAGCGATCCCAGAGAGACCAGAGGGTCCAGGCAGCCCAGCGAGTCTACGGAGTCCATGGGGTTTGGGGAGTCGTTGGGATCCAGGAGTTCCAGGGAACCCGTGGGCTCTTGTGGCCCAGAGGGTCCACGGCGTTTAGGAAGTTCAGGAGTCGTTGGGAATTCTAAGTGGACCCGCCGAGCCCAGGGCCTCTTAGCGAGTCTGGGGTAGCCAGGAAGCCGAGGGAGCCCAGGACGTGCGGGGCGATCATGGGATCTCCGAGGTCCCAAGAGTGTCAGGAGTCCGGGGAGTTCCTAGGGAGGCCAGGAGTCCAGGGAGACTAGGAGGTCTAGGGGATCCAGAGAGTCCATGGGGTCCAGGGGGTCCATGGAACCCACTGCAGGACGCGCAGGTACCCCACGGAGTCCGGGCTTTCTACGGAGCCAAACAAATCCGTCACGTGGATGGTCTTTTCCTTGAGAGTCCATGGGGTCCAGGGTGTCTGGGGATTTCAGAGAGTCTGGGGGGCCCAAACGGTCCAGGGAGTCCAGGTTTTGCAGGGAGTGCAGAAGAAAGGGGGTCCAGGGGCCTAGGGTGTCCTTGCGCAATCAAGGGGCCACAGGACGTCTCAACCCATGGAGTCCATCTAAGGTGTCCACGGGGGTCCAGGCGGTCCATGGGGTCGATGGGGGCCCAGGCAGTCTTGGGAGGCCAAAAAGACCAAGGAGTCCAGGCCGTTCATTTAAGTAGCCGAGGGAGTCAAAGGAGGTCCACGCGGCCCAGGGATCTAGGAACGCTGGTGTCGATGAGCTGTCGCATTGTAGTGTAAACCCTTTCCGATTATTCAGTTGGAGGAAGAGCTGGTAGGTCTTTGCTTCGTTTCGCCTTTTGGGCTTGTCCCCCATGTCTTCCAAGGCAGCCCAAGAGGGATCCAGCACGGACTCCTGGGACCATGGTAGGGTATGTTGAACATTGGGGCCTCCAGCCACGCCTCGAGGTTTCTGGGGAAGCCACGCTGGGGCAACACATCGCGCCCGAGAGCGCCAAGCAGGGCCTGATAATTCAAGGGCTCTGCGAATAAGGCATTTTCGCAACACTCTGCAGTGGGAATTCTACGGACGATGGCGACACTCCATTCAGATCGGGGCTCATGTGGTCCAGTTTGGGCTAATCCGGCGCAGTCCGGCGCAACATGTGTATATATTTATGTATGTATTATCAGCTTATCGATCCTGGTTCGCATTCGTATTCGTATCCAGCTGCCTGCAGCAAAACCCGCCACCGTGCCTGGGCAAGAGCGCAGCAGGAACTGGTCTGAACTGGGAAAGGCGTGACCTGGGCTTCGTCTTCGTCCTCGCGGTATGAAGGGATGATAGGAGGAAGGGGGGGATGCTGATGATGATGCTGATGCTGATGCTGATGCTGATGCTGATGATGATGATGATGATGATGATGATGATGATGATGCTGATGCTGATGATGATGATGATGATGATGGTGATGATGATGATGCTGATGATGGTGATGATGATGATGCCGATGCTGATGTGGATGATGATGATGATGATGATGAACATGATGATGATAATGATGATGATGATGATGATGATGATGATGATGATGAACATGATGAACATGATGATGATGAACATGATGATGATGATGATGATGATGATGATGATGATGATGATGATGATGATGCTGATGCTGCTGCTGCTGCTGATGATGATGATGATGTGATGATGATGATGATGATGATGATGATGATGATGATGATGATGATGATGATGATGATGATGATGATGATGATGATGATGATGATGATGATGATGATGATGCTGCTGCTGCTGATGATGATGATGATGATGATGATGATGATGATGATGATGATGAGGATGAGGATGAGGATGAGGATGAGGAGGACGAGGAGGAGGAGGAGGAGGAGGAGGAGGAGCCGCAAGAGGAGGAGCAGGAGGGTAAGGTGGAAAAGGAGGAGGAGGAGGAGGAGGAGGAGGAGGAGGAGGAGGAGGAGGGGGAGGGGGAGGAGGAGGAGGAGCGAGACAATTGGGGCCTCCTGTGCCGTCTTAGCGAGCTCTTGGCTCGTCTAGCGCTTTCGGAGGCCGTCTCGGTTGCCTGTTTGGGCTGTATTGGTGCCTGCGCTCCAGGGCCGCCTTGGGGCCCAGTTGGGAGCCTCTTGGGCGATCTTGGGGTCCTCTTGGGCCCGTGCGGGGCTCTCTTGGGAGCCTCGCGGGCCGTCTGGGAGCTCTTCTGGAGGCCTTTTTGCCCGCCCTGGGCGATCGGAGACCCAAACAGGCGAGAGCGTCAACATCCCACAACACCCAACGGAAATCAATGATGTTTGCCTTCTCGGGCTCCTCCTGGAGGGCCTCTTGAAGTACTTTAAGCTGTCTTTGGTGGCTCTTGGCTCGTCTGACGCCTTCGGAGGTCGTCTTGCGGGCCTCTCTGGGCCGTCTCAGTGCACTCTTGGAGCGCTTTAGGGCTGCCTTGGGGCCCACTTGGGAGCCTCTTGATCGATTTGGGGGTTCTCGTGGGCCGATGTGGGGCCCTCTTGGGAGCCTCGCGGGCCGTCTTGGAGCTATCTTGGATGCATTTGGGGCCGTCGTGGAACTCAATGACCTCTGCCTCCTCGGGCTCCTCCTGGAGAGCCTCTTGGAGCCTCTTGGGCCGTCTTGGGAGCTTCTTGGGCTGTCTTGCGGCCGTCTTGAGAGCCTCTCGAGCCGTGTTGGGCCCTTTTGGGCCGTTTTGGTGTCGTCTTTGGCTGTCTTGGAAGCCGTCTGGGAGGCCATCTTGGCCGTCTCCAGGCCGAAAACAGAGCGCTGGGGAGCGATTTCCAGGGCGGGCGGTCTTCGCGTGCGAGTGCGAACCAGGGAGGGGGCCGGCCTTAGAAAACATGTGATACACATTCTCAGAGAGGCCGCAGGAGCATTCTAACACGTCCAGCTCTTGCAGGCACGGTGGCGGATGACGGGAAGCGCCCTCGGCGTGGACCGTTTGTTGGTGGTAAAGATTGCCCCAAGACAGCCCAAAAGGCCCCCGAGAGGCCCCCAAGACAGCCCAAGAGGGCGCCCAAACGGTCCAAGAGGCGCCCAAGACGGCCCAAGAGGGCTTCAAGACGGCCCCAAGAGGTGCTAAAGAGGGGGACCACGAACCGACAATGGAGATGTCCGCCCCAATAGGCCCCCAAGAGGCCCCCAAGAGGCCCTAAGAGGCTTAAACATGCCCCCATCAGAGACCCCAAAAAGGCCCCAAGATGCCCCAAAAGGGCCCCCCGGAGGCTTCCAAACATGTCACAATTGCCTCCCCCCAAGAAGCACTCCAGAGGCCCCACGAAGCCCGCTGAAGGCCCCAAAGAAGCCCCTACAGTCCGCAAGCAGCCCCTCATATTGATTTTTCAAACCATGCTGAAGCCATTTGTCGGTACGTGCATTCGTGCATCGTGCAGCTGTGACTTTGTCAATGCGCGCAGCCGTGGTATTGTCAAGCGCCTGCGCTTGCTAGAACCTAAGCGCGCGCGAAGCGCGCGCGTGGTTCTAGTATATCATATACCGGGGTACCAGGGGCCAGGGCCCCCGGCCAGGACACGCGAATTTCCCCCCCCCCCCCCGTAACCCACTTGGCCCCCGGGCGTCCGGAGGCTCTTTTGCGCCCCCGGAGGCGTCCACCACGGCTTCCAGGGACGGCAAGAAGCCGCCAAGACGGCCCAAGAGCGCTCCAAGACTCTGAAGATAGCCCCATCAAGGCCCAAGGGGCCCCAAGAAGCCCCAGGGGCGCTCCGAGAGGCTTTCCAAGAGAGCCCCAAGAGGCTACAATCATAGATTTTCATTGTGTTTTTCAATGTTCGTTTTCGGGTTTCTGATCTTCCAAGATTGCCGAGGAAGCCTCGAACATTGATTAATGGCTACGGATTGCACCGGGCACCCACGCTTGCGGATTTCTGAAAATGGCCGTCCCTGCCTTCCTTTTCTTTTTCTTCTTCGCCCACTGCGCCCATGCGACCAAAGCGGCGCTTCCCGTTCTAGTCTGATCAGATTCTCTGACCGTGCCCACACACACATTTCCGAGAAGTCGCCGCGTTTCTGGCCAGCATCTCGAGGACAATCCGGTCGTCGCCACGAGGGCGCGCCGGGTGACTCCAAAGCGCCCTCCCCTCTCCTCTGCCATGCCCAGGCAGTCGTCCCAGCTGCAGCGGCAGGTGGCCTGGCAATCGGCCGCGCTCGCGCCCGTTCTTGCTAAGGGCGGGCGACCTGGCACGAGCCGCGGAACAACGTCGTGGTCGTCGTCGTCCCCTTTGCACCCCCGTCTTCCTTTCTTATCCACCCTCCTCTTTTGGTTTGCTCTTGCTCCCGTTGCTCCCGTTCTACTTTCAGAGGGCGTTGCCAAGGGCCCCGCGCCAGATATGGGGTTCAGCGCGAGCGTTGCAGCACGGCGACGTTCGCATCGGCCGTCAGGCTGGATTTCGGTTCCCGCACAGTTCACAAGCCCCTCCCTGCGTGCGATTACAGACACTTCTTTGTCACCACCCACTATTGAGGGTTTTGATCGCAAGGAGAGGAGGAACCACTCACGCTGCAATCGTCTCATGGTATTTCCCCGACATGCAACATGACAAACAAAAGGCGTGATGACGTTAAGTTCGAGCGTTATCAGCTTCAGTTGACCTCGTCCTCGACGGAGGTGCGTCAGTTTTGCGCTTTGTCGTGCTCGCCTCAATCTGTGGCCACAGTGCAATTGGCGAAGGATGCGCAAGCGGCTGCGTAGTAGAGAGTGGTACTCGAATTTTGGCGGACGAGTGCGTTGGATATACTAGCATTGCGCAAGTCGAGAGACGTATTAACATTGTGCAAGCGGGGGGCTGTCAGTTGGGTAAAGTTGTGACTCGTGAGCGGTGGCCACAATATGTAGTTGAGCTGGCGGTGGGGGATGTGCAAATCGCGGCACAAAGGAAATTCGAATTTACTGTTCACAAATCAGCCACATGCAATGTGCAAGCAAAAGGTATTCAAGCGGTGGGAGTCCAGTGAGAAGTTGTGTTCAGAGTACAATCGACATGCTGTGCAAGCAAGGACACTCATATCATCAGCGCTTGCTTAAACATCGCATTTTCATTAGTAGAACTGGAGCGTGGCACTCGTGCTATGCAACTGGGGAGTGGTCTGAGTATTGTGCAACTGAACAGTGAAACACATATCGCGCAGTATGATGATTGCGCAGTGGCAACAGCTCAAGAGGGCAACCAGCGGGAGTAGAGGGTGAAGCCAGTGTGCACAGGCGGCAGAGGACCCGGGGCTCACGCAACGGGGGTCAGCGCTAACGGGGGTCAGCCAATCCCCTTCGGCTGACCCAAGGTTTGGGAGTCACGCGGGGCCGATTTCCCACGCCTGCCCTCCGCCGACCCAGGCTTGGGAGCCATTGGCCAGGCATCCGGCGTCCCGATTTTTTGTGAGGCGCGGGCCCCCGACCTGTCGACCACTTCCCTGGGCTCAGTTCTTCACCCCGAGCAGTTTTTTTGTAACCGCTCCGCTGCCCAGGAACAGGAGGAGGAGGAGGAGGAGGAGGAGGAGGAGGAGGAGGAGGAGGAGGAGGAGGAGGAGGAGGAGGAGGAGGAGGAGGAGGAGGGGGAGGAGGAGGAAGATGAGGAGGGAGGAGGAGGAGGAGGAGGAGGAGGAGGAGGAGGAGGAGGAGGAGGAGGAGGAGGAGGAGGGCCACGAGAGGCCGAACACGGCGGCACCCTCTGCCTCGATGCTGCCGAGACGCCATCTGTCTGCGAAGTGGCCGGCCAGGCTTCGCGACAGGGCCCATGGCCGACCCGAGCTCGGACCTGCGCGGCCCCGTGGGCCCCCCGAGGGCGCCCGAGGCAGTGCGCGCACCGGCGGCGGCCTGCCCGGCACACGAAGCGGCCCCCGGCCGCGCCGCCGCGTGCTGCGCCCCCCGAGCGCGGCCGCCCGCTGGTGGGGAGGGATGCGTAGAGGGAGGAGGAGGAGGAGGAGGAGGAGGAGGAGGAGGAGGAGGAGGAGGAGGAGGAGGAGGAGGAGGAGGAGGAGGAGGAGGAGGAGGAGGAGGGAGGGAGGGAGGAGGAGGAGGAGGAGGAGGGAGGAGGAGGAGGAGGGAGGAGCAGGAGCAGGAGGAGGAGGAGGAGGAGGAGGAGGAGGAGGAGGAGGAGGAGGAGGACGAGGAGGAGGCGGAGGATCCCCCAGCCGCCCCGCCCGAGCCGCCCGTAGCGCCCGCGGGCCTCCGCAAGCACCCTGCCAGAGCTCGGGCCATGGCGCTCTCGCTCGCCTTTGCCGCGCCCGCCGCGCCGGCGGCCGGCCCCAGCCGCACCGCCATGAAGACGCCCACGTCTCGAAGGCGACGATAGTCAAGCAGTGGCGAGGCGTCCTGGCTCGCCTGACGGCCCACCAAATCCTGTTTGAAGAGCCTCTTGGGGTCTGCACGACATGTTCTTGGAACATTTCTGGCTGAGACTGTCTTGTTTTAATGCGTCGGGCTCATGTTCGAAGAACATCGTTTTGTTCTTAGAGCAGTTGTGGGTTCTAAGAACATGTCGTGGTAGGCCTATAGGAATGCCGGGACGGTCGGTCCCTGCTCAAGATGGGGGCGAATAGGCCGGGGGCAGGCATTGCACGCATTCGCCCAGAAGCTTTGCCGAAGGACTTGGACCATCCACACCCCTGGATACATGTATTGCTCCCCCCTTGGGCTATTCGCCCTCGTCGCCCCCGACTACGTCTCGAAGAAGGGAAACGCGGCACATTTTTAGCATGAGCTCTCGGACTTCCGCGCGGATTTCTTGGATCTGCGCTGGAACTCCGTGGCGGCGCCTCTGGCGCTGCCCCCATTCAATTCGCGCTGCTCGCGCCAGGGGAGGTGGGTTCAGCGCATGCCCAGAAAATCCGCGCGGACCTCCGAGAGTTTGTGTTTATGCAGTTGTTTCTTCCTCTCACGTCCGCGGCTGCCAGGGTCCTGCCCCTAGGCCCCCTTGGGAGGCGGCGGATGTGGACAGAGATCCCTCTGCCCTCGAGGGCCCGGGGAGATGTCCACACCCAAGGGGTCCTCGAGATCCCAGGCAGGACTCCCAAGCGGCGAATCTCGGAAGCGGCACAGACGTGGGTCAACACATGCACCATAATTAGGAGGTCCGCGCAGATCTCTTGGCGCGGCGGTGGACCCCCCCCCCCTGCCTGGCGCGCGGAGCAGCGCGCCAGGGGCGGCGCCGGAGGCGCCGCCAGGGTGGGGGGACGGGCAGCGCAGATCCACGAAGCCCGCGCGGACCTGCGAGGGTTTCCCTGCGAGCGCTTCGCTCGAGGAGTCTGGTAGTGCAGGGGGGGAGCGGACCACCGGAGAGTCCCACTTGGGGGGGACGGGGAGCCCGCCCCGGACTGCCCCGTCTGGCAGCCGCTTCGGCAGCCTCTTCGCCCGAGATGTGCTCGCCTTGCACACCGTTTTCTTAAGTCGGGCATGTCCCTCTTCAGGAGGGAAAGTCGAAGATAGTCAACCAATAGCCTGGGGACGATGGTTTGACTATTGATGACTATTTTCTACGTTTCGCCTGTAGGCGGACATGCCCGACCAAACCTTTTTCTGGAATCGCGGTCTCGCTGACATGCCGGCGTTTGTGGTCTGGACGGCCACGGCCCCTTGCAAACGAATCCGCTACGATGCGCGCGGCCGTGTTCTCACCCCTCGCCCCACACTGGCCGACCTCCTACTCCTCGGCCCGACTCTCCACATGTGCTGCTGTAGTCAAGACGCTGAAAAAGGACAACTTCGGGCTCACGAGGGGCGGATTTTTTGGCCGTAGGTCGGGCAATCTATTCTCAGGGGAAAAGATGCACACAGACACAATTAATCGTCGATTCCCCAGAAAATATTGAAAAATATAAGAAAGTGTGGGGGAACACAGAAACACAGACAATATGGGAACATATGGGGAATCTTTTTGTTTGTGTGTATTTATCTGTGTGTTCTAGGGCCCCTTGATATTCGTTGCCAAGGCTCGCCGTGGCCAGGACAGCCCCAGTCGTTCCTTTCTCAGCGTGCTGCACTGGCGCGACGACTGCCCTGGGGTACTTGCGCTGAGGTAATCGTTGATGACGTTCTGTATATGATATGGTCAGGCGGTGGATATGGATACCAGCTTGAAACGTATCCCTATCCTTATGTTTGGCATCACCTTTCCCAGTGCCGTTCTCATGGATACCCTTGTTTCTCAAGGCACATCCCAACTATTGTCATTGCCTCGAGCTTGCCGATCTTAGGGATGGGGATGTCGGGCGGGGCCGGGATGAGAATAGATCCGCTCCAGTGCTCTCGGGAACGCTCTCTCAGAGCGTTCCAGGACGCCCCGAGAAGGCCGCGGCGCCCGGGATGTCCTCCAGAGAGCCGCGGGATCTCGGAGCTTCTTGACCCACCCTCGCCCGAATCTATCATCGCCCTGGCTTCGTTCATTAGGATCGGCTCGAGGAGGAGGAGGAGGAAAGAAGGAGGAGGCGGAGGACGAGGAGGAGGAGGAGGAGGAGGAGGAGGAGGAGGAGGAGGAGGGAGGAGGAGGAGGAGGAGAGAGAGAGGAGGAGGAGGCGGAGGAGGAGGAGGAGGAGGAGGAGGAGGAGGAGGAGGGAGGAGGAGGAGGGAGGAGGAGGAGGAGAGGAGGAGGAGAGGAGGAGGAGGAGGAGGGAAGGAGGAGGAGAGGTAGAGGAGGAGGCGGAGGAGGAAGAGGCGGAGGAGGAGGAGTAGGAGGAGGAGGAGGAGGAGGAGGAGGAGGAGGAGGGAGGGGAGGAGGAGGAGGAGGAGGAGTAAAGAAGGAGGAGGAGTAGGAGGAGGAGGAGGAGGAGGGAGGAGGAGGAGGAGGAGGAGGAGGAGGAGGAGGAGGAGGAGGAGGAGGAGGAGGAGGCTGGTTCGATGTGGGCCGTGCTCTGGCGGTGCGCGCAGCCCCTCGCTGCGCGGCTCGCCCGCGCCCGAGCAGCCCCGTGAGCTGGGCGGCGCTGGGCTCGGCCTGGGCGTCGCGGGCGCGGGCGCCCTCGCGGCGGCGGCCGGCGCCGTGCGGGCGGGCGCCCGGCGCCGCGCGACGGCCAGGAGGCCCGGCAGGCCTCCCAACATGTAAGTCGGGCGTGTCCCTCTGCAGGAGGACTGTTCAGGAGTAGTCAAAATACAGAGACTGGGGGCGATTGTCGGACTGTTTTGGATCATTTCCCCATATCCAAGGGATGGGGTTCTTGCGAATTCCCCATCTCCAGAGGATGGGGTTGATGTTATTTCCCATATCCTAAGATGGGGTTCTTGTT